AAGATGTGAAAATATTGACAGGACTGAGTATAGGAAGAGACACTAGGAAAACAAGGGAGACACAGTTAAATCTCATCAGATATAAAGCTGGAATTAAAGACGTGAAAAGTCAGCCTTAGGCAACAGCAAGTGGCTGGAGTCAACTGGAGGAGGAGGGATGTGCAACTTGTCTGATGAAAGAGGAAAAAATCTTTGAAGAAAAGATTCGTGAGAAATGATTTACACTTTCATAACTTGACCACCCCGTTTTGAATCTTGTGGATGTCCCTCAGCACTGCATACCTCTTCCCATGTCTCTAATAGGGATGTATTTTGATAGATGTGTTCATAGTACGTACAGACAGAGTATGTTATGTTCAGTTTTAGCAGGTGATTTACTAAGGTCAGGACATAACCACTGATAGAGGAAAGTATGTCACTGTGGACCCCTGAATTACAGTTTGACAATTGATTTGTCGCTGTTCACCTCACATTTTAGAGTTAGCATGGAGGTGCCACTGGATTGTACTAGTCATTCCAAATACTTTACCTTGGACTAGAACATGCTTCTGGAGCAAAATGGCTTTGGACCATGGGTTACCACTAGCATCTTTATCTTCTGAGACAGCATTGAAAATCCTGAGCATGCTAAGCAAGGCCAGGGCTTGTCCTTCCATTTTTTAGTCTCCTATTTGACTACCATAACTGACACACAATTGAGAGCCCTTAATGATTCTCTGGGAGTTTGATCCTTTTAGGGATAAGAAGTATCTACCCTCAACACCAAGAAATGTATCAGCAATACAGGTTCTGTTGCTTGAAGAAAATGGCAACCTGATGCTGACAACATTTTTATGTAAGATTGCTGGCTGACCGGTACGTGGACAAGTCTCATCACAATATGACATAGTACACTGTTAGTTTACAGTGTACCATAATGTCACAGTGTTAGTTTATTACTGTGTAAAAATGAAAAGGTAGGTGTTCTCTAGTGTATCTAGTTTACCAAACAGCCTTATTAAACTCTTCCCCCTGACTCCCTTGCTCCTCAAGAAAAAGAAACCATCTCCCAGACAAGCCATTTGACACATACATATCTTAGTTTGATCAACTACTGTTAATGAAAATTTTAGTTGTCTAAAGAGACCTTTTTCACTGCTATATGTCGCCTTTCATTTTTGTTACTATCTGTGGTCACATTTGCAAGCATTTACCTTGTCCAGTGTTGTGGACTGAATGTTTCTGGCCCCCCAAAATTCACGTGTTTAAGCCCTAACTCAGTGTGATGTAATAAGAGGTGGCACCTTTGGGAGGGAGGGAGGTGTAGACGAAGTCATAAGTGTGGAGCCCCCATGATGGTATTATTGCCTGTATAAGAAGAGGGAGAGAGGCTAGAGCTTCCTCTCTCCGTCACATGAGATACAGGAAAAGGCAGCTGTCTGCACCCAGAAAGAGGGCCCTTACTGAGAACTGAATCTGCCAGCACCTTGATCTTGGGCTTCCAGCCTCCAGGACTGGAGAAGGGAATGTCTGTTGTTTGAGCCACCAATCTGGGGCACTTTGTTAGAGCGGCCCAAGCAGACTAAGATAGTCTTCGTGTTCTCTTGTGACTGAGCGGTTTCACTGGGCCTCCTGACCAGTCAGCGTCCAGCAGACAATACGTGCTGACTTAATAATGTTAGAATCCTTTTGAATTTATCATCTCTTAAGAACAAAAATATTACCGTGTATCAGCATTCTCAGAGGGTATGTTCTCACTGGCCTGTTTTCATTTTTCCACAACCCTGTTAACCACCCCAGAGGATCTTAAGATCATGTTCCGAAACAAGTCGTTAGGGAATTCTGTAGCTAGGCATTCATTCGTTTAGACATATATATACTTGCAGATCTGTGGCTATTCTGTTGATTGTTCAGCTTTAATACTTCCGTGTGAATATATCTAAAAAGCTTACACACAGTCACATGTTCATTATGGCCTATATATGTGAAACGTCCTGTACCATCATTTTGGGATAGCAGATGCTCATTTTTCTTGCCTTTTGTGGTTCTCTCCCTAATTGCTTTGTGAGCTAACTTTGCTTACATACTTTCTTTGATGTTTGTGTTATAGGTTACTTTTGATTTTTAATCATAAACATGTCAAATACAGCTCCAAGTGTTTAAATATAGCTACATTAGTTTATTGAACTCTTAATTATGTGCCAGCTATTTGCTTTACTTAGACTGTCTCATTTAATCCTTCCAACAGTCCTAAGAGATAGATGTTATCATTCCCATTGTAGAAGGAAACAGGTTTGGTGAAGCTAAGTAACTTGACCAAAGTCACAGAGCAGAGCGGGGATCGTGACTATCTCCAAAGCTCCTGTTTCAGCAGCTACTTTATAATGTCCCTCAAGCTACAGTCGTTGGAATGTCTTCTTTTGCACTTGAAGTGACTGAGGCTCAAGGAGGTGACCTGCTCAAATATATATAGTTGATTAGTTATAGAGCTGGCATTCAGATTCTGATTTTGTGACTCATGATTCCAGTGATCTTTGAATTTCAGCGTTCTGAATTTCCCAGTTAGAGTCTGTGACTTATGAAGTGCTTCCACCAAACCTATTTCATTGGATGGTTAAAGCTGCACTCTAGGTTGAACCACAGGTATTGTGCCTCCCTTGTTTTGGATGATGTACCTGAAACTTGGATTAGAAGAATTGCCTTTGTTTAAAAGGCAAGTAAGCAAGATTGGCCCTGGGCTAACATCTATTGCCGGTCCTCCTCTTTTTGCTTGAGGAAATGGTCCCTGAGCTGACAGCCGTGACAGTCTTCCTCTACTTTGTGCATGGGATGCCGCCACAGCATGGCTTGATGTGCGATGTGTAGGTCTGTGCCTAGGATCTGAACCTGCCAACCCTGGGCTGCCGAAGCAAAGCATGCAAGCTTAATCACTACACCACTGGGCTGGCCCCACAAATCTTTTGATCCTTAACCCAGCCCTTTCAACATAGCCTTCTCTACATAAAAGGTATAAAAGGCATAGTTTTTTTACATCCTTTGTGTAGGAAAATTCTCACTTGCCTTATGTCATTTCTACTTGTTCCTATAAACCAAAATGATCACAGATGGTATTTATTTAATCTTTCCGACTCATTTTAATTCTAGTCCCTCTCACCATAAGACAGTGGCTTGCATTTTCATATTGTCCACATTTTTCCCATTGTTTCCACAGTAAATCTGTAATTCAGGAAACATCTCTTTAGGGCTGATAGATTGTGGCCCAGGCAGTTTTTATCAGATCAGTCAGTTATGTCCTTAGTGTTGACATAGATGATGCTGATGACTATGACAAGAAGCTAGATAGGACCTTTTGACTGGTTTAGTTGTGTTCTTATAAAGTAGCAAATTAAATATAATCGCTGATTTTTAGAACCTTTAGTTTGTTCTGGAACCTAATGTCATGTTGGTGCTCTATTCTACACCACCTTACTCATGGATTTGTTTCTTGGTTCACTTGGTAGTGCATTGTTTGCATTCTGGGTCCTCTGTAGTAGAAAATAGAGTCTACTTTTAGGTTTTTCTTTGGGAAACCTTTGCTTTCATGTAGCATCTCATTTGAAGGCTGATTAAACGCCTAACCTCTGGTGCGATTTTAGATAGGCCTGACTATGAAATGATTTATAATTGCTTGCATTTGTACAACCTGAATTTGGCAATAAGAATATGTTAGCTTTGCTGTAGTTGTCTGAAGAAGTATTTGCTGTTCTTCTCTTCCTAAGTTAATGTTTCCTGCTGAAAAGAAAGCGTAATGGAACACTTGGTCCCTTGGTTGGTTAGAACTCGTTAAATGGTCTTTTGTATGTCATAGGGAATATGTTGGAGAGTGTGCCATCAGTTCTGCACAGATATACTATAGCATCATAGTCCTCAGTTCTCAAGAAGTTTCTCTAGCCATTCAGCCTTGATCAGCAGCTCTCCAATTCCATTCTGGTTGATAACATTAAGTCTTTTGTGAGTATAAATACAATACATCCCATTTTTTACCAAGTTTCTTCCACTAAACCTAGGGCAAAGACCGTGCATGCATTTCAGAACTTTAGGAGTGACTTTGTGATTCCAGAAAAACTATTTTACCATGTTATGCAATAGCTGTTCAAAATGGTGCTCAGGGGGTTTCATCTGTAAAATAGAGTATTTTAGTCAATCACTGCTCCAGTCCACTTTCTTTACGTTCTAAACACATTCGTAAGACTGTTTGGTTAGAAGTAACCTTGAATATAGGAGCTATTGTAGTTAATAGAAAACAATTATTATTGGATTTGAATGGAAACCTTGTAAGCATCTTGCTTCCAAGTGGCCCCTCCCCTGTACTTTGGGTCTGTCTGTATATCAAAAAAATGTTTCTAAGGTGACCATTTGTTAGACTGAACTTTTGTAGAGCTAGTATTTTCTTGTGGCACATAAGAATTAATAAACATACTATATTGATAGTCAAGGTATGTACTAGCATTACTTATTATGATATTCCCCTGAGGAAAAGATATCTCAAAAATCCTCAAATATGTCCCCCCTTCTCACTTTTTCTAGAATAAGGATTTTACCTCTAGCAGTTTTCCTATGATCATGAAATTCTCCCATTTTTTGTCATTTCTATTTGTTCCTTTAAACCAAAGTACCTACAATGGTAGTAAGAAAAACAAAGGTAATAATCCTACAGAGTTTAAAAAAAAAGATCTAGATAAGTGCAGGATCACACTTGTAATAATATTACATGGATTTCAAAGTCAGCTAGAGGTACAACCAGCCATAAAAGATACAGTACATTTATATGAGAGGAATGTGTATCTTTTCTGTATAAAATTTAAGACGTCTTACCATTGAAACATGAAATGCCTGAAGCTAAATTATATATCTCTTGTAGAATGCTTACCTGTGGTTCAGTCAGCATTACTTTGTATAATAAAGAAAATAGGTATTTTAAGAAAAGCCTTAAATGTTTTTAAGTAATCTTGCTGCTTTTGCATTTTCCTATCTGGATGTAGCTGAAAGTACCCATGGCAGACAAGCCTGGTAACACAGTGAATTTCCGGAAGCTGCTACTGAACCGTTGCCAGAAGGAGTTTGAAAAAGATAAAGCAGATGATGATGTCTTTGAGAAGAAGCAGAAAGAACTCGAGGCTGCCAGTGCTGTAAGTCTTTTCACAGAAAGCTAATGCTGTGCACTTCGAGTGTTATCAAACAGAATTTTCATGAAGCCGGCTACATCTCCTCCCTACTACTTCAATAGGTGCCTATGGTCTTTCTTCCGTGTGGAGATACTATATTGATGTTTAGAGGAATGCTTTATTCCTTTTAGTGCCACATGTTAGAGCAAATCAACTTTCTGAGATAGGGATTCAGAACCTAGACTTCAGAGAGATCGCTGAGTTCCAGAAATCTCCTGAAATGGATGGAAACTTTTGAGTGTAGTGCACTTTTCTGAGGAGTAGGTTTCTAGTTGCTATGAGATTCTCAGAGGATATTCCTGACCCCCTAGAAATAGTAAGGACCATGAATCTAAGTGTTTGTTCTTAGCATCTATTGTGCAATACAATTTTCATCAAGATTCTATTATTCTTCCTTACACAACAGCCAGAGGAGAGGACAAGGCTCCATGATGAACTAGAGGAAGCTAAGGACAGAGCCCGGCGGAGGTCCATTGGTAACATCAAGTTTATTGGAGAGCTGTTTAAACTCAAGATGCTGACTGAGGCCATCATGCACGACTGTGTGGTGAAGCTGCTCAAGAACCATGATGAAGAGTCCCTAGAGTGTCTGTGTCGCCTACTCACCACCATTGGCAAAGACCTGGACTTTGAGAAGGCAAAGGTAAAAATCCAAAACCTCAGAAACTTCCAGAAGGGGCTCTTTGTCAGTTGCAAAGGAACCAGGACTGTCAACATAAGCACTTCATCTTGTCCCAGCAGTGTAGGCTGTTTACTTTTTTTCTTTTGTCCTTCTCCTTGTCAATGTTTGGCCATCATACTCCTTACCACATTTCCATTAAAGTCACAAGTGAAGAGGGTTCCAAATTATATCAAAGCCAGTTCCTGAATTGTTGAGATTATTCATTTTTCTGCATGACCATTTCAGAGGTCGTTTGTTAAGGGCAGAAATTGAGGGCAGAAATACGGAGAGAAAAGCTACTATAGGCCAGGATTGAGAGTCATACAGACATGACTAAGACCCAGTAGCTTTCTTAAGTTTATGCTCTAATTAATAACACAGCTATCTAACCCTAATATAAGAAATCATTAAAAATATTATAATTCATCATTACGTGGTGCTCTCCAAATAAAAGCCAGGGAAATTAGAAATGATTCTAGGAAATAATGTCAGAAATGTTTCTTAACATCTGAATCAGCTACAGTTATGTTTGGCTGTGACAGAAAACCCGAAATATCAGTGGTTTATGCAAGATTGAGGTTTATTTCTCACTCGTGTAAGTAAGGAAGTCTGAGACTGGTCTGCTGGCTCAGAGATAATCAAAAAATCCAGTTCATCCAGCTTATCATTGTGTCATTCCTAAGGTATAGTTCTTGTCCTTAATGTTCTTAGCAGAGAAGGTTGGAAATGGGCAAAGGACACAGGCACCTCTCTCTTAAGGAAGTTTCCAGGGGGCTGCAGTATGACGTTTCCTTTTATATTCTGTTGACCTGTGATTAGTCACATGACCATGGCCAGCTGCCTGGAATATGTAGCCTTCATTTTGGGTGTCATATGCTCAAGTAAAAATTCTACCATGTTACCTTTTGGCTATAAGTTGTATTCCTAGGCCATTTAAAAATTCTATATGATAAAATTACATTTAAATTCCTCAGCCAGGAATGCTAATGATTTTGTCTTTTGCAGCCCCGTATGGACCAGTATTTTAATCAGATGGAGAAAATTGTGAAAGAGAGAAAAACTTCATCTAGGATTCGATTCATGCTTCAGGATGTGATAGACCTAAGGCTGGTGAGTAAACAATAATAAGCCTACCTCTTCAGTCTCTGTTGAGGAAGTGGGTTGGGGAGGCTGTCCTAGTATTTGCATGTGTAAAAACTTAATGCTTTTGCTACATGACTCTCAGAACTTGAATTGACAAACTGTAATGAGGGAGCTATGTGGAAGGACAAAAGGCGTATATATACCTACCTGTTACATGTTTCTTCTCTTTAATTATCAAACCACATTGCAGTTTTAAAATCAGCCATTCTGAATTCAAACCGTAGTTAATTAAATTTAGTCTTAGGATGCTAAATAATTAGGAAGCCTCATCTTCAAAATGAATACGTTTAACTTCCCTGAGCCTTACATTTTTAGTCTCTAAAATGGCATGTTGCCTACCTTGCAGATGTGTTATAAAAATTGAGTGAGGTAATTATGTAAGGTGCCCAGCTCATAGGAGATGTTGATGTTTTCTTTATTGTTTTTCTTGTATACCCTCCTGTTCTGCTTTTTTTCCCCTCATTTCTCGTACTAGGTGCAGTTTTTACCATTACTACCTCTTTTTCTCTTCTTATTTTAATTCCTGCTGGGAATATACTGCAGCCAGCTCTAAACTAGAGAAAGTGAATACTGGTCCCACCTGTTCCCTGCCTGCATGTAGACCAGTAGCATTGATGATGGTTCTTTATCTTGCTAAGCCCAGAGGTGACCTCAGGATCCTTATTACCAAAGCCACTACCACTTGATTAGAATTTTTATGCTGATTTTAACCTATGTGCCATCCTTGCCTCTAGCTAATATGAATAAACAGAAAAAACTTCTCCACCCATGCCTTCAACACCTTGGACTTACATCAGATGTTGGGACTGTAGCTGGAAATTGAAGGAAAGGGAGAAGTATAATTATGAGGAGACGACTTGTTTTGTCCTTAGCAGAAAGGATAACCAAAGGGCAGAGTGATGTGGCACTTTGAATAGAACACCAGAACCGTGATATGGAAGGAAGAAAAATTCTAGTCATCCTTGATTTACAACCCCCAGGGAGTGTGATATGAACTGAGTAGCAATACCCCAATTAAGGAAAGGCCAAAACATCCTAATTTTTCTTGATTTCTCTTCTGTCTTCTTTCAAATATACAAAATAATTTTTAAAAAATACATTTGGACCAATCTTTCACTCTTTTTAATCCATTGGGTTTTGGAATGCTCAATGTAGAATAGTTCAGGGTTTAATGAGAAGAATTAATTCTTTAGCTCTAATCCCCTAACTGCACATATTGCCATCTGTAAGACAGATGAAAAACTGCCATGGTACCAGATTTTATATGTATTTTTACACTTTTCCAGCAGTGGAAAGTATAAAATAGATTTTCAAAGTTTTGTTATTTTTAGTTATGTGGCTGATAACTTTATTTTCTCATTTTATAGTGTAATTGGGTATCTCGAAGAGCAGATCAAGGGCCTAAAACTATTGAACAGATTCACAAAGAGGCTAAAATAGAAGAACAAGAAGAGCAAAGGAAGGTCCAGCAGCTCATGACCAAGGAGAAGAGGAGGCCAGGTGAGGGTGGAGTCGCCTGGGCGGTAGCGTGCTTGGGAGTTTGAGCGACAGACGTTTAAGAATTCTATGTTTAGATGTGAAGTGAGATGAGAAAAAATAACCCAAGGATTAGAGTGGTGGTTGGTAAGGGAAGCAGTTTCACCCAGAGACTGGTTATTGAGTCAGAGCAGAGAAGGCAGGAAGCAAACATGATTTCTTTGACTACTTCGAAGTCAGTAATCAGCAAGACTTTACTGAGCATCTTCTGTATACTCAGTCAGTATTGGTAAGGGATATAAAAAGGAGTAGAAGATACTCTAGAAAATACTTTTCCTCTAAAAGCTTACAGTTTATCTGGGAAGGCAAAACTAATAGAGGGAACATTTGTTAAGCAAATGGAAATATTATCGATGATGAAGTGTATTCTCTATTAAGGTTGTTAAAATTCAGAGAAGAAGAGAGCGAGAGAGAGCCGGAAGAAATCTTTATTTGAGGAAGGGACACTTGAACTGAATCTTGGTGGATGGTAGATATTTGGAAGGGAAGAAAGAATTTTAGTCATGAAATTAAAATAAACATAAATTGTAAAGAGAAATAAACAAGCCTGATTGGAGCAAACTTTAAGTACTTTAAGGAGGAATGGAAAAATGTTTAGAAGAGTGGAGCCAGATTAAACTTTGATTTGATTTGGACATTAAGGAGCCATTGGAAATTTTTGAGCAAAGGAGTAATGTCAGGCCAGAGGTATGTAAATAAAATAAGTCTATTGCTGTTCACATGATGAATCAAAGGGGTACACTGAACTCAGGAATGTTACTGTTGCTGAAATCATACATGGAAGGAAGTGAGACTTGGTAGCAATAAAAATAAAAGGGAAGAAACAAGGAAAAAAGCAAAGATGAAATACAAGGCATTTTACACCTTAGAAAATAGAAAGTCCATTGGCTAAGTTTAGGAACATTGGAAGAGGAAACCTTTTTCAGAAGGGAAATGATCATTTTTCTGTTAAGCCTCTTTATTTTGAGGTGACAATAGGGCATCCAAATGAGAATGCTCATTTGTCCCCTGTGCAGTTAAATGATTAGGGTAGTGACTGGGTCCCATAGAATAGTGATTGAGAGCATAGACTTGGGAGCCAAACTGTCTGCGTTTGAATTTCAGCTCTCCTGCATCGTAGCTTTATGACCTTGTACAAGTCAGTCTGTAAAAGGGATCTAATTACAGTACCTAGGATTTATGTGAGGATGAAATGAGGTAATATCTGTAAAGTGTTCAGCATAGCAACTGGCACATAGTAAATACTCAATAACCATTAGCTGTTGTTCATCACAGACACAGTAGAGCTCAGTGAAGTTAGGAGAGATGAATCCTCCAGGGAAGAAAATGTGCTTTTAAGTTTCGTGGGACACCACACTTAACTTCCTCATCCTTGTCCCTAGCCCCAATGCCTTTCGGGTATTGACTTTTATTTACTATTGAACTAGACTGAGAGGGAAAAGATAAGAAAGCCTAATCCGTGGAGGATGTCCGCATATGACTAAAGGAATAACTCTTGGAAAAGAACAAGTGGAGAAGAGATGCTAGGATATGTGTCAGAGAAACAGGGAAGAACCAAGTCTTCTCATTATTATGAAAAACATTACTTTTCAGTAATATCAGATAGCACAGAGAAAATCAAAAAGTATGTGAGGATCAGAAAATCTTTTGGATAGACTATTTGGTGGTCTTTTATTCATTCAACAAATGTTTATTGAGTTCCTGTCGCTTAACAGGAGGGAGTCCCTTCCTTCATGCAGCTTCCATCTTACCGAGAAAAAGACAATAAACAAATACTTAAATATACAACTTTTTCAGCTATGTTTCTTCTATTAAAAAAAAAATAAAGCGGAGAGGGAGGGAGTGGGGAGTGCAGGGCTTGGTTGGGGGGACATTACAATTTTAAATAGGAAGATTGGGAGCTATTAAAGTTGGTGTTTGAACAAAGCCCTGAAGCAAGTGAGGGAATGAAGTCCTGCAGCTCTGGGCTAAGAGGGTTTTCAGCCAAGGGCATAGTAAGTACAGAAGCCCTGGAGCAGCGCTTTCAAGGAACAGCAAGGAGGCCGGTGTGACTGGACTAGAGGGCCTGGGGAGAGTAGTAGAAGGTCGAGTCTGAGAGACGGGGCCAGATTCTTTAGAGCTTGTAGGCCATTTATAAGGAATCTTTCTTTTTCTCTGAGTGAGATAAAGAGGTAATAAGTGTTTTGAGCAGAGAAGTGATAGGACCTGACTTACGCTTTACTAGAGTCACACTGGCTGCCATGATAAAAACACATAAGGGTGGAAGGAAAGCCATTGAGGAGGATTCTGTCTTTATTTTTTAAATTTTATTTACTTATGTTTTTTGGTGAGGAAGATTGGCCCTGAGCTAACATCTGTGCCAATCTTCCTCTATTTTGTATGTAGGATGCCGCTACAGTATGGCTTCATGAGCAGTGTGTAGGTCCGTGCCCAGGATCCAAGTCCCTGAACCCTGGGCCACCAAAATGGAACGCGTGAGCTTAACCACTGTGCCACTGGGCCGGCCCCAATGAGGAGGTTTTTATACTAATGGAGGAAATATTTCTGGCTTAAACCAAATTGATGTGGTGGTGGTAGTAGTTAGAAGGGGCTAGCTGCTGAATATGTTGTAAAGGTTGAACTGACAAGCTTTGCTGACAAATTGGGTGTGAAGTGTGAGAAAGAAGGAGTCCAGGTTTTCTGCCTGCGCAGCTGACTGAAAGGTTGGAGAATTAGGTTTTGGGGGAATGATCCGATTATATTGTGTCATTTGATAGCATTAAGTGAAATAAACTTTGGAATAAATAATTTCCGTTTGATTTCTCCCAAAGTGTTCTAATCATTAACTCTGTAACACTAGATTTGGCCCTCCTTTGTCTAGGACTAAATCTCTGTTCATTTATATCAGCTGGTTTCTTCTAGGTCAGTAATGTTTCATGCAAGATCCTATATAGAGTACTTCTGCTTGACATTTTCTTCTTGTGGGTATTAAAGACACTGCCAGCAATGCTTTACTAATATCTTTTGTCATTTTCCTTGGTTTTGATTGGAGCTGCTAAGTTGAAAATACTGCTCACTCTTTCACTATCAAACTGACTTGAGACAGACGAGAGACTGCCTCACTCTCTCCTCCCTGCAGGCGTCCAGAGAGTGGATGAAGGTGGGTGGAACACTGTACAAGGGGCCAAGAATAGTCGGGTACTGGACCCCTCAAAATTCCTGAAGATCACTAAGGTGAGTGTGACATTTGAAATACAACTTACGCCTCAAAATGTGACTCTCGGAATTACTTCTTGCTCATATAAAATAGCCCTACTGCAGATTTTATGGGGTGGTTCTTTTTTAATGTAGATGCTTTTTTACAAGATAGTATTGATCAGTGTATTCTTACCTACTTGTCCTGGCAGTAGTCCTTTTTATTTCTATGAGGATTTACTAAGGAGGAATTAACTAGGTTAAATTCTTAAAGTCACGAGATGCTTAATAGAAGAGTGAGATTTCGGAAGCCATGGTCAATTGCATGCTGTTCAGTGTATCCTTAGCTCTGAGGAAGAAGCAACCACCTGTTTTAAGTCTAATCATGAAAAGAATTAATGGTTTGCCATACCCAAGGCCAAAAAGAAATCCAAGAGGGCCTACCAGAAATAATTCTGTGATAAAGATTTAGGGCCGGCCTGGTGGTGCAGCAGTTAGCACAGGTTCTGCTTCTCGGAGGCCCAGGATTCACTGGTTCGGATCCCGGGTGCGGACATGGCACCGCTTGGCACGCCATGCTGTGGCGGGTGTCCCACATAGAAAGTAGAGGAAGATGGGCATGGATGTTAGCTCAGGGTCAGGTTTCCTCAGCAAAAAGAGGAGGATTGGTAGTAGTTAGCTCAAAATCTTCCTCAAAAAAAAAAAAGATTTAATATAGTCTCCTTTTCCTCTCTCTTGAGAATCTATGGGCAGTAAGAGGAAAGAATTTTCTCCTGGCCGGTGTTTTTAGCAGTAGTAGTTGATGATCACTGTGAGTAGGGGGAAGAATCTTGGAGAAAGTAGAGAAAGTGGAGTTACATTTTGTAAAAGTGGAAACTTCTACAGCCCAGTGGGTTTTGCAAATCATTTGCAAGTCTAATGTGATCCTTACTTGTAATACACTTTCCATAGTTCTGAAAATTGACAACTTGCCAGTAGGATACTAAGGGCAGTCTAAAGCTAATGTGAAAATCTCAAATGAAAGAAGATAACTGACAAAAAGAATAAGACTGAGAAAATTAGAAGATGGGTACGTTATTTGCATCTTTATGGTTTTTACATTTTTAAATTTTTATTTGTTTATTTTGAGGAAGATTAGCCCTGAGCTAACATCCACTACCAATCCTCCTCTTTTTGCTGAGGAAGACTGGCCCTGAGCTAACATCCGTGCCCATCTTCCTCTACTTTATATGTGGGACACCTGCCACAGCATGACGTGCCAAGTGGTGCCATGTCTGCACCCAGGATCCGAACTGGTGAACCCCGGACCGCCAGAGCACAACGCGCACACTTAACCACTACGCCACTGGGCTGGCCCCTGCATCTTTATGGTTTTGTCAAAGCATTGCTCAAGATAGAACATTCCCTTTCTGGATCTTTCTTGACGCTAATTAGCTAGGATCACCCTCTCTAAGGTTCTGATGCGTTCTTCTAGCTGTTTACATTGCAGGGCAGGACTCCACTGCTGTGTACAACTTGATCCCATCCTCTCCCATTTTCAGTGAGAGGCAGTTGTAACCAAAACCTTGTATTTAAAGAATTCCTCCAGTATCAGCCCCAATATCTTTGAAAATCGTCTCAATACTTAATAATAACATTTTTCTGTGTTTTTAAATACTATTTCTGTACATGGACACTATAAAGAAGAAGAGTGCTGGTATTAAACCTACAACATTATTTTCTTAATATTTTGAAAAATATGTGTTTGCATATTCAGATAGTTATACTATAGGTACTCTACATAAGTGTACCAGAAAAAGTTTAAAACCGTTACACAAATTCACTATCGACTAGGATAGATTTGTGTGAAAGTAAGTCATGTAGCAAGGCATCACTGTCAGAATACAGAAATACCTTTGTTACAAAGAACTGCATTGTAGCTTATATGTTGTATGTGTTTTATGATAGTTTCTATTGCATTGTAATTCTACTCATTCGTACTAAACTTCTGCTTTGAGGGTTAAACCTGAGAGAGATCAGGCACCTTAGCTCCCCATCTAATTTTCCATTCTCTCTCTTTTTTTTTTTTTTTGAGGAAGATTAGCCCTGCACTAACTACTATCAATCTAGCTCTTTTTGCTGAGGAAGACCGGCCCTGAGCTAACATCCATGCCCATCTTCCTCTCCTTTATGTGTGGGACACCTACCACAGCATGGCTTGCCAAGCGGTGCCATGTCTGTGCCTGGGATCCAAACCGGCAAAGCCCAGGCCACCAAAGCAGAACCTGTGAACTTAACTGCTGCGCCTCCGGGCCGGCCTCCGTTCTCTTTTTCTAATTCCGCTGTACTGAGTGCTGCCATTTTCCCTCTTCACCCCCAGCCCCAGCCTATATTAGGCTTTGCTAAAATGTGGGATCTGTGTGTCTTTTGACCTATTTTCTGACAATCATGTGAAGAAAGAGTTAATTTTGTAGTATTTGTGTATTCATTCTTTTTTTTTTTTTACATCAGGGAGCATTATTGTACAGGAGGAGTCATTACAAACTGCTTACATTTAGCAAACCGGCACGTCCTCTTGAAGGACCGGAATACATTCTCCAGACCAGTAGTTTCGAACTGTGTTTTGTAGAAGCTTGATTCCAAGGAAGTGCTTCAGGGGCCACAGAAATCCCACTTTAATGTGAACAACTCCAATTTATGTTTTTTAAATTGGCATTCCAAGCAAAGTTTTGTTGCTAAAATTGGTTTTACTGCACTGGAAAAGAAAGATAAACTATTCTTTAGAATATTTCCTGTAATTGACTTGTGGTTGCTTATGTTACAGCCCACAATTGATGAGAAAATTCAGCTGGTACCGAAAGCGCAGCTGGGCAGCTGGGGCAAAGGCAGCAGTGGTGGAGCAAAGGCCAGCGAGACTGGTGAGTACGGAGCGCCCCTCTCGGGGGCTGGGACGCGTTCTCTCAGCACTCTCCTTCCCGCACATCTCCACAGCCATTTCATAACGATTTGGGGGAAAGGTCTGTAGACTAGTTGTGCCCAAACTTATCTGAGTCCCTTTCTGACTAACAGAAATTGAGGGTTTCCTCCTAAGAAGGATTCTTAAGTATTTTTTAAAAGTTTTTTAGTTCAGTTGGACTTTTTAAGACTTTGCTCTGTTAGGTTCCGTTGTTGTTGTTCACAAATTCAATATAATTAGAGAAATAACTGGGACCCCCAAATTAAAAGGGCTACTCATTTTGCTCAGAAAAAGAATATTAATACCTAGAAGCATTTAATTTCAGGGAGTTGTAAAAGAATAAACAATTAGATTGAAATGCTTTTCAAAAATCTTTATCAAAAGTAAGATTTCGAGGTGCCAGCCTGGTGGTATAGCGGTTAAGTTTGCATGTCCCGCTTCAGCAGCCTGGGGTTTGCCAGTTCGGATCCCGGGTGTGGACTATGCACCGCTTGTCAGGCCATGCTGTGGCAGGCATCCCACATATAAAGTAGAGGAAGATGGGCATGGATGTTAGCTCAGGGCCAGTCTTCCTCAGCAAAAAGAGGAGGACTGGCAGCACATGTTTGCTCAGGGCTAATTTTCCTGAAAAAAAAACCCCACAAAGGTCAGATTTTGAGAGATTTGACCTTAGGATTGAAATGTTCGGACCATCACAGACATCTTCAAAGCTGAAGAAGCCCAATGGAATGAATAAAAAGTTTGCTGTTAACCTCCTTCCCATATTTCCCTTCCACTGAATAATTTTGGCCTTTTTTTCTTTAAATTTTAAAAAATTTCATTATTCATTTAAACCCACATGCATAATTTTACATAAATGAGATCATAGCATTTCAATTAGCTTTTTTTTAAGTGAAATATTTTGCTTTGTTTTTGCTTGCCTCCCTCCTTCCCCTGTTTATCACTCCCACCCCCATGCCCTACCAAGGATAATTTATGTTTTTGAAGGAGGAAATAGTTGTAATGAACAAAGGTTTCTAAATTCTTTTTTGCATACAAATTTCCTCTAACCCTTTACTTCTAAGAGTATGGTCTGTGGACCCCAGGGGATTGGCATCACCTTGTTAAGCTTGTTAGACATGTCGAGTCTCAGGCCCCGCCCCAAGGAGGCAGATGAATTAGAAGCTATATCTTAGTCATGTGATTTGTATTTTTTTCTCAATCTTCAACACCTAGATGCATTACGGTCAAGTGCTTCCAGTTTAAACAGATTCTCTGCTTTACAACCTCCAGCACCCTCAGGGTCTGCATCATCCACGCCTTTAGAGTTCGATTCCCGACGGACCTTAACCAGGTTAGAAGCTTACTCTCCATGTGAATTCAAGACTAACCGGCTTGTCAGTCAGTCTCTCTATCAGTCTGTCTCTCTGTCTTTCTCTTTCTTTTTCTCTGTCTTTCTCTTTCTTTTTCTCTCTCTCTGTCTCCATCTCTCCTCCCTCTCTCTCTCTCTCTCCTTCTGTCTCTCTCTCTCTCTCCCCCCCTACACACACACACACACAGAAAGATTATGATGATAATCCCTATGGATGGATTCTTTTCATCCCTAAGGTTGATTTACTTTTACTTTTCCTCCTTTAATATTCACATTCTGTAATTTCCAAAATAAGAACGTAATTGGTTCGTAGATTTGGGGTGTGGTCAAAGGAAAGGGCAGATTATCCGGCACGTATCTAATAGTTTGCTTCTTAAGAAAACCAGGCCCACGCAGAGAGCCCTGGAGCTTGTGTAGGGCTCTCCAAGCTAATGCCTCAGGATGCTCCAGATTCTCCTAGCAGTCTCAAGCACGTGAATTAAAGGGCATGACAGTCCACCCACACACTTTTCTGTCACACTGTTTTTCAAGTTGTATTTGAGGTTTTTATTTTTTAGTACTCTTTGTATTCTACTATCTTCCTGTTTTCGTTTTTGTAGGATTGATACAGCCAAGTGTTCCGTTGGCTGGTTTATGGAGAGTGGATGAGAGCGTGTAATATAGTGACAGAGAACAAAAGTTTTGATATAAGCACTTTCAAAACTGAAGTTTCTTTAAGCTCTCAAACTTTTGGTTTTTATACTATGGCAATCAGTTTGGCAAGGGAGACTTTCTAAACTATGTTACTATTCCCTTGGCTTCTGAAACAAAATGTACTTAACGCAAGTCAACTTCTTAATTATGACTTGGATTATCATTGAGCATCTGTTGTGTTATTGAGGTGTTTGTGGCTCTTTACCCTGCCAGACATTTCCCCCAGTGACTCTGCTTTGTGAGTACTTGTGTATGTTGTTTCATAGTGGTTCGGTTGTTATCATGCCTCTGAGTCTTTCCTCTTCTCTCCCTTTTAATTTGCTGCTTCTGATCTGCCATGAGCCAAGGAACTTTTTGCTGGTTAGAGTTATCTAAAAGAAGACTAAGTAGGGAGATATGGGAAGATTCTCTCTTAAAATGAGTGAAGTATGTGACTGGCTATTCAAAAACTATTTCTGCTACTTGATTATCAAATATTTTCCATATATTTGAAATTTCTGAATAACTAAAGTATCATTGTATAATTCTAAGGTAGTGATACCATGCTCTCTTGGTATTCTGTTGACCTTTTACTCATTTAGCTTATACATTCATCACTGTCTTCTTATTCTTATGAGATTTTTAAAAACTAACATAAGGAGTCGCCATTGGCTTTTTAAAATTGTAAGTAGTATCCCTTTGACATTTAAGAAAAACTTAAAGCATATCTTAATATTCCCTTTAAAGCACTGATTTTACTTGTTTACGTAAATAATTACACTTTGAAATATCATTTGTGCCTCACACATCTAAAGTTATCTGTGAAAAATTATTCTTCTTACTTTTAGAAAGTTTTACTGTTGTTTTATAACTTGAATACATGGGGATGGGTGGTCTTTCCTTTGAAAAGTGTTTTGTCTTTTAAGTCGTGGAAGCATGGGCAGGGAGAAGAATGACAAGCCCCTTCCGTCTGCAACAACTCGTCCAAACACTTTCATGAGGGGCAGCAGTAGTAAAGACCTGTTAGACAATCAGTCTCAGGAAGAGCAACGGAGAGAGATGCTAGAGACTGTGAAACAGCTCACAGGAGGCATGGATGTGGAAAGGAGCAGCACTGAGGCTGACCGAAGCAAAACCAGGGAGTCAGGTGAGTGACTTGATATGAACAGGTACAGATGAAGATTTGGGCCTTAAATTTAGAAGGGAAGATACAAAGGAGACTTTGTGTCTGAGTAGATTTCAGAATCTATACATGATAACACACACACCAGTGCCTTAGAAGTTAAAGGTAGGGCCGGCCCTGTGACCAAGTGGTTAAGTTTGCACACTCCCCTTCGGCTGCCCAGGGTTTCGCCAGTTCGGATCCTGGGCAGGGACATGGCACTACTCAGTAGGCCATGTTGAGGCAGCATCCCACATACCACAACCAGAAGGACCCACAACTAAAATAGCAACTCTATACTGGGGGGATTTGGGGAGAAAAAGCAGGGGGAAAAAAGTTAAAGGGTATCTTCATAGTTTTGTAACATATTCTCATTACCCAGATATCCCTTTGTTCAGCAAATTGGTGAATTTTCTTTTTCTCTATTAAATGTGATGATGATGAGGTCCTCTTGCTGTATATTAAGCAATCTGAATTTCTTACAAGTTCCCTGAATAACACCCCACTGTGCATTAGAGTGCCTGTGCATTGTAGAACCCCTCAAATGCGTGAAAATTCTGACATTTTTAGCATGTATATGCTTAGAGGACCAACTCAGATAATGGTCTTAAAATTACCACATGTATTTAACCTATCTCTGTTTCAGTTTTCTCATCTGTTATATTGGGATAATATACTTACCCTGTAGGGTTATTATGAAGACTAAATGAGATGTTAATACGTGTAAATATTTTGAACATTACCCAATAAATACAAAGTTTTCGAAAGGAATTAGATGTCATGATGATGATCATGACAGCAATGAAAAATATTGAAAGATAATTTTCAGCATTTTAAAAATATTGATCCTGAAGTAGTATTTGTTGTTTATAACATTTTTATAGCTTTCAGATTTGTTTCACTCTTTAAATTGTGTCTCCTACCTATGGTCTCTAAATGGATTTCAGAGGCAAATTGAAATGTCTTCTCCCAACAAACAGGTCTCAGATATTTAGCTTTAGGGACATATGGCTCTCTTTTCTGTGCTAGATCCTTTGGGAACATAACAGGATAGGACAAGAAAGTACCTTGTGTTTAGTGACTAATGTAGCACAGCTGCCCTATGCATGTTTTCTGTGTGGGTCGTTTGTTCATTCACCACATGTACGCAGAGCGTGTAGTGACCTCTGGGCCCTTGATTCCTGCTGTCGGCCTTCAGCCTGCTGGGTCAGGAAGACCTTTGTCAAATAATTCCACTAAAGAGTATATATATATATATATATATATATATATAAAGTGCAGACTGAGGAAGATGATATGAAGGAAGGGAACATAGTTCTGAGATAGTGCTTAACAAACAAACTATATGGAATTGACACAGAGGGATGTCAGGGAGGTTTCCTCAGGTCTAAAGGACCAGTAGGAGTTAAACAGGTTTGCGAGGAGGGACGGGTATGGAGCAGAGAAAAAGAGCATTCCAGACAGGAGGAGCACCATGAGCAAAGTAGTAATAGATGGAACCATGGCATGTTTGAGCAACTGCCAAAGACCACTGTGGGTAGAGCTCTGCACGATTGTGCAGGCCTCATGTGATCTTGATCATCGAAGCCACGGAGAGGAATCCAAAAACAGAAAGGAACGAGAAAACTCTTAATTATAAAAGTTTGTCGGGACTGGCCCCATGGTGGAGTCGTTAAGTTTGCCTACTCTGCTTCGGTGACCCAAGGTTTCGCCAGTTTGGATCCTGGGCACAGACATGGCACCACTCATTAGGCCATGCTGAGGTGGCGTCCCACATAGCACAACCAGAGGCACTCACAACTAAAATCTACAACTAAGTACTGGGGGGCTTTGGGGAGAAGAAGAAGAAGAAGAAGAAAAAGCAAAAGAAGATTGCCAACAAATGTTAGCTCAGGTACCATCTTCAAAAAAAAAGTTTATACTAGCCCTATATCCTTTTAATTGTTATGGATTATAAGTTACTTAGTGCCTATCTATTCTAAAATAAATGTTTCTGTATTCTGCTTTTAGGTATCTTTGTCAAATTTGTATTTATTTTAATACCTTTACTGAAAAAACAGTGTAACAACATGTAAATATTGTCAACCATAAATCCACCATTTTAATGATAATTTTTGCCATTTTTACTTTCTCACTTTTTTAACCTCACTAGTAGCAAAATCAGAAATTCCAGCAACATCAGCCTCTGACAAGCCTACATTGTCAGAAGAGGAGATGGAGAGGAAGTCCAAATCTATCATTGATGAATTTCTACACATTAATGATTTTAAGGTAAATGAAATTTTTAGAAACAACAGCAGCACCCGGAAAGCCCTGTCACAGAGAGACATAGTATCTTGGTTCTGGTCTAAAGCAGTCGTCGTTGTCGACTGATAGGACTTGGAGTGAGTAATCCAAGTCCCACACACTTCAGTTTGCACAACTCTTATGCATTTCTGCCAAGTACTCTCTTTGGTATTGATACTATGGTGCACAAGATCAAGTGGCGGGAAGACAGAATGGGTACCAATCAGTCCCCACTATGGGATAGTCAGATTGATATTAATGAAGAAAACAACACATTATCATCATGAGGCCTTCCTGCTCCCTATATATTACCTGTCATAATCTTTACAGTCATTTTATTGTCATTTTCATATAACCTTAAAGTATGACAGGCATTACTTTTTCTTTATTTCATAAGTGAAAAACTGAGGCACAAAGGAATAAACAACATGCCAGGGTCAGACGGCCTGAGTGAAACATTTCAAGATGTGGCTTTGAATTTGCTTTAACCCTAACCCCCTTCTTGAGCTTCGTTTTAAGATGGTAGTGAATAAGATAGACATACTGCCTGGCTTCATGAGCCCTATAATCTAGTGGCAGAGATAGTCCATAAACAGATAATTCCACGAATAGTTATTTAAATTGTAGTTGTAATACATGCTAGTAGACCTCTGGGGTCTTAGAAGGATCATGTAATAAGATCTAGTTTAGGGATCTGGAGTCAGCAAGGCTTATATTTTAAAGTATTTGTCAGATATATTAACTACTTTTTGCTATGGCATTATGTTATTAAAAATTCTTTCACGCTTACTTGTTCTCTTGACAATCTAGTCATTATTTGCTTTCTATACATAAAAGTCACCTTGGTTAACTATAGCCAGCCCACCCTTCTAAAACCCTCAAGCCTCTGAAATTGTCCAAAATTCAGAAGAAGTTTTGATTATGAGTGAGTTGGAGAAGAGTACTTTGCAGAAGCCCTTGGAAATGCAACAAAAATAAAAGAACATTAACTGGAAAGAGCCAAAGAATATGCTTCATATATTATGATTTATTAGATTCCTGGAAAATAAGGAGTATTCTTGTAAACTGGCAGCACAGCTTTTTTTCTTTCGTGGAAGTAGGGAAATGTGAAAGACAAGAAAATGGAAAAGCTAAGAAAGATGAAAAACGAGACAATAAGGAAGCAAGCAGTGGAGATTGGCTTTAGAAATAATTTGAAGGATGTACAAAGTCAGTAAGCAACAAATACTTTGAAAGGGGAAAAGTATGACCCTGTGATGAATTGGAAGTGGGAGAAAAAGAGCTTAGTAACATTTAAGTACAACAAGAGGACTCTTTGAAGAGTCATTAGTGCTAGCCCAGACCTGCGGTATGGAAGACAGAGTTGGTTATGACTCAGGAATTTCATTGTGCAGTGTACAAGGAAGCTTGCTGCAAAGTGGCGATAAGAACCAGGTAATGATGTCAGACATAGTGAGGGCTTACTGTGTGCTAGGTGCTATTCTATATGTTTTATATATATTAGTTCACTTCATCCTCATAACACCTTCCTGACATTAATATTATTAGAATAGCCATTTTTACAGATAAGGAAACTAAGATGCAAAGATGTAAGGTAACTTGCTGTAGGTCATGCTGCTGCTAAGTGGCAGACTCAGGGTTCAAATCCAGGCTTCTAGCTTTAGAGCATAAGCTATTTTATTGCCTTTAGGGTATTAGTGTGTCATGCTAAAGGATTACCTAAGGAAGAGTGTTTTTCTGACATCTTAATAGGTGCTATTTTTCTTAACAATAATGCAGATTAATATTTTTGAACCTTAGCTTTATGTTTGGCAATGTGCCAAGTGCTTTTATATACGTTTTTAATGCAATCCTCACAATAACCCTATGATAGGAAGTCAAGGCTGAGAAATTAGGTTACACTTGTAAACTCATGCTGTAGTAAGTAAATGGCAGAACCGGGATCCAAACCTACATTTGTCTAAATCCATAGCCTGTGTGTTTAGCCTCTGTGATATATATTTATTGAGTACCAAAAACGTGCCAGCCACATTTTAGGGAATACTGCCTGGATATACTGTCATATATGTAGTAAACACAATAGTCTGCCTTTATGAGTCTTTTATGGACCTTACATTCTAGTGGGAAAGCTCCCCGAAAGACAGGTAATAAATAAACAACAACTGCAAAAAGAAAAATAATGTTTCAGTGCATAGAAATTAAATTAGGTGATGTGATAGCCAGTGATTGGGCAGTCACAGAGACTATAGGAGGTGTCATTTCAGCTGAGAGTACAAAGACAAGAAGAATAAAAAACCATGAGAAAATCAGGGAGAAGGGCAAGACTATGAACTGCTGTGACATTAGAAGTACCAGGATAGAGTTAATTGGCATTATATGCAGATTCAGTGAATAAATTCCCATTAGAAAACACTTAGTCACTTCAGGTTAAATACTCAGGGTTGAATACTTGCATTCATTTCCACTCCCTCCTGAAAAGGTGTTATGATGATAATGCTGGGCTTAAAAGCAGGTAATAATCCACAAGGATAGAGAGCATACATACAAGACAGCAGCAACAGTCCGAAAGTTAGAAATTAGAAAGATGAGTGGTAATTTATTTAGCAGACAATGAATGCCTGTAAGGTGCAGATGTAGCTAGAAACAGAAGGATTGATTGGTTAAAAGTGTATATGCGAAACAGTTTTATATAACAGCTGTCCCAAATGTTTCAAAAATGCCAATGTCATAAAAAGACAGAGAGAGAAAGGATGATCTAGATTAGAGTCTAAAGAGATATCATGACATGTAGTGTCGCGTTTTCAGCTGGATCCTAGAACAAGAACAGCAAAAAGCTGTATTGGACATTTGGGAACAATTGTGGGTATTCAAATATGTACTATGTATCAGATAATATGTTCATTGACGTTCTTATATGAGAGTTAAATTTCTTAGATGTACAGAAAGAAAACGAACAATTGATGATTCTAAATTGAAGTGAAGGCGTATACGTTGTATTACTCTTTAATTTCTCTGTAGGTGGAAATTTTTTCAGATAAAAAGTTGACATGGGCAAGGTATTGAGTGGAGTAGCAGAGGGGAAATAAAGCCATGTTGAGACATCTGGATGTGTGTGCCTTACTCCCTTCTTCATTCAGGAGGTTGCCCTTCTCACGTGCATCTTCCCCCTCAGAACAGCTACTCTCTTCAGAGGTTGAACCAAAGGATTTTGTACTTAGAAAAAGTTGAGATAGCTGAGGGTAGGGAGGCACACTGCTGTGTTGGTGACTCAGCGACCCAGGCTGCCAGGCTTTTACCCTCCAGACCAAAGATGCGGACCTAGCCAGATCATCCCATGGTAAGGACCAGTTCACAAGCCCCACACTTCAAGAACTTCCTAAAAGGTTTTTAGTATAGTCACACACCGCCTAATGACATTTCTGTCAATGATAGACCACATATGCGATAGTGGTCCCATAAGATTAGTACCATTTATCCTAGGTGTGTAATAGGCTATACCTTCTAGGTTTGCATAAGTACACTCTTATGATGTTCGCACAATGACGAAATCTCCTAAGGATGCATTTCTCAGAACATACCTCCATCGTTACGTGACGCATGCCTGTCTTTAAGCTAACCGTATTAACTTTCCTATGAAGGAAGACCTTATCTATTGAAGATTTTGCAAATATTAACATACCCAAACAGAATTACCTCATTTGCCACATTAAGGCCTTTGAATCATGACATTGAATTTCTGTTTCATAATATACCCTTTTCAGTTCTTTAAATGCTCATAAGATAGTTAAACATTATGTATAAAAATATATTTTTTTACTCTGGTCCTTTGAGTGATCTTTAATGTAATTGTTAACCTAAACACATTAGCCTTATAAAAATATACATTTCTTTTGTTTTTAAATATGACTAATATTGCCCATGTCGGCCTGCATTTTACTGAGCTATATTAATGCTTAAAAAAATAAGAAAACTGTCTTGTTCATAGAGCTTTCTACTGAGTTTTTCATAAGTAAGAGATTTTAAACTTATTTTAACACTATGGTAATGCTATTCATATTTTGGAGTAAGCTTTTATTTGCTATTTGAACAGGAAGCCATGCAGTGTGTGGAAGAGCTGAATGCCCAGGGCCTGCTACATGTGTTTGTGAGAATGGGAGTGGAATCCACCCTGGAAAGGAGCCAGATCACCAGGGATCACATGGGCCAATTACTGTATCAGCTGGTGCAGTCAGAAAAACTCAGCAAACAGGACTTTTTCAAAGGGTCGGTATCCTCCTCAAGAGTGGTATTCAGTTACTAGGCTCTTCAGTAGTAAAGTTTAAAAGTACCTATCTTTTTAAGTATTTAGCTTTTTTCATAGACTAGAATTGGGTCCGCTATAATATGTTGATGTGTAATATATTGATAATGTGTTGGTTGATACGATGGTGTTTTGTAGATTGTGCTAGGGCATGAAAATTATCTTCTGGTGTTCTGTATCTTACTGTTAGACCTGTGTTATCATGTAAGTAGGGTAGCAGACACCCCTTAACTGCACGGATACTCTGAGGCCCTCACAAGCCTATTTACATGCAAGCACCTGCATATTCTTTAAGGAAAAAGCTTTTCTTTATGAAAAAAATTCCGGAAAATTGACTTAAACTTAAAAGCCTTATCCTTTCAATAAACCATAGTTATTTTGGCCAGGAAATGCTTGTCTGTCCACTTTAGCCCCATAGAAGGATATGTAACTCCAAGTTCTTAATGATTTAGCCTGTTTCAAGTTGGTTTCATTGTGATTCCTGTTGATGCCTGGTTTGATGAAATCTGGCTGTCACTGATGTTGTGTTCTCATACAATAAGGTTCTGATATCTTTGTGATACACCATCATCACAAGTGCATGGATCAGGTTCGTTGTGTTTTAGCCACAGAACCTTACCCAGGCTTAGCTTCTAAAACCAATGTTTAAGGTGAAGATTGTGTAGAGTAGAAAATTTGTCTTTGGAGCCATGTTGTGCAAATATAAGCATAGAATCATACCCAGCACTGACAGGTGCCCACTCTAAGGGAACAGGAACTCCTGAGGGCCAAACATCAGATTCCCATCTCCCATCTTATACTCACTCGAAGTATATGCTCATTGAGTGGAATGGCAGTAATAATTCTGCGCTTAAGTTATTTTTCCCCTTATAAGTCTTTTTTGCCAAGCCCATATTGTAGTCTTGTAAATTAAATGTGCATGTGATGAAATGTACTGTATATCTTTCAGATATGGTCAACCTCTTAGAATCGTGTAACCATTAAATACCAAGATTGAATGTACTTAGGAATAATTACTGATTTGATTTTGTGAGGAATGATGACATTGTCTTCAAGGTCTTGGAATGTGTATACTTGCCCCTAGGATCCTTAAATAGTTGTCTTTCAGCAGTAAATTAGTTTTCTCTCAATTCAGTGACTAACTAGACTAAGGCCGTCTGAACCCAGTTAACTTCATAAGAAACTGGCGAAAATTGCTGTGATTGTCGGCCTTTAAGGCCAAGGTGGTTTCCCAGTTTTAGAAGAGAAATCTGTGGTTCACTTCAGTAACCAGCCAGTGAGAGCAAATGAGGGTATCTACACTCTCACAAATTGAGCTCTGCCCCTAGCCAACTGGAAACTACAATTTCAAGCCCTTAGAAACTACAGTTGCAGTAACTATTATAGTAATATATAAATATTTGCTTTTCACCCAGATATTATGATACATTCACGAGAAAATTTTGAAAATGAGAATGCTAGATTACTATTTACCATTATCTGTCTTTCTTCAAACTATACGCAGAAGTTGATTAGATCTCTGTCCTTACATAACGTTGTGGGGGAGCATCTAAGGTCATCTTCCTTGGATAATGCCAACTTCTGCCTAGCTTCCTAAGCCGGCGTGACTCTGGGAAACATAGAAAGTAGAAGGCCTCCGAATTTACTGGGCGCTGACCACTTAACTGTTCATCTGCCGTTTCTCCTACAGTTCCTTTCAAGGCATGCACCGCTACTAAATAGTAAGGTAGACTAGACAGAAGTTTCAAATAAGCTTTTTGTGTCAGACTGTTTATAAATAAAGCTTAGATCTTTTGGAATTTTCCTTACAAAATGCTATATAACTCTGAACATAATAGGTGCCACATATAAAACATCTCCACAAAGGCAACACCAAGCCATCCTCTTGGAATTTTCAGGACTTGCATCTAAATACTTTATGACATAAAGTAGATGGGTAGGTAGGTAGATGCATTATTGTGTTGGTAGATGCATTTCAAACTGTGTTGATACAGTCATTTTATCTCATGGCTTCAGAAGACTTCTTGTTTAAAACTGTCTACTAAAGGAAGTTGAGTGCAGTTCACTGTTAGCCACGCGATTGGAATCACTTTCACAGTGTAGTAAACAAATGCATCCAGGATGGTAAACATTGGAGTTGACGGTAGACACAAAATATGTGCTCTTCACGAAGCTTGATATGGTAATATTTCACTCTGTGAGATGTTTGTTGGAAAGGAAGTTCTTATCTCCTCCTTGACTATTTTTTTTGCCGCTTAGGGCATTTCTACCTTGATAAAAAGATGCTATTCAGGGCTTAAACAGACATGCATACTAAGTTTCAAATGCAAAATTGCAGAGGTGCTAGGTAACAGTGAAGACCATATGTGCTCACATAGGTAAGATCTACTCTAAATAGATTTTCTTGTAGGAATGCTTTGAAGATAATACTGGAGTATAAGAAGGCTTTTCACCTTCTTTTTACGTGTAGTTAGATTCTTATGATCAGTCATAATAATACTTAACCAATCTGATTTTGAGATATCTTCACTATCTCTTCCATGTTTATCCAAAGCAGGGTTTACATTTTTATTAAGTTATCATAATGCAAATTGTGGAAGATGCTGCTAACAATACTGTTGCCAATTATGTTATATTGTCTTGCCCTTTTAGTAGATTTCTGATCAGAACTTTACTGAATTTTTAAAAATTTTACATGCCACAACTAGAAGGACCTGTAACTAAGATATACAACTATGTACCGGGGGGATTTGGGGAATATACAGCAGGGGGAAAAAAACAAAAGGAAAAATTTTTCTAACTTTTAACCATGTACTCCTTTCTTTAAATTTTAGACAGGAAGCTAGCAGAGAAAATAAAGTAGAGCCTCTGTAGTTGAAATAGGAGGAGGAATGCCTGAAGTCCTGCCTGTGGGCCCCATCAAAGTGCAGTCCAGTGGCGTGATGGTCACTTCTGACCAAGAAGCAAGGATATATTGCAGCCCTGATTCATTCATTCAGCCAGCAGAAAATGTGTATTATGCAAAGCATTGTTATAGGCTCTGTAGTAGTCCAAAGACGTAAAGATAATTACCTAGGAACACACCCAGGATTTTTCTTTCAAAATCATACAAAAGGGTTGGAGCAAAATGGTGGGGTGAGCTGACCCAGGATTCTCTCCCCTCCAAACTACAACAAAGGATTGGAAAAACTGAATTTCAGAGACTAAATCTAATGCCAACACATTAGAGACCTCCAATACCAATAAGGCGGAGATCATAAACCCTACTTACGGCCTCGGAGGAGCTGGAACGGTAGGAGAGAACATCGCTCCCTCCCCTAGAGTCTGTGATCCCTGCGGCAGGGGTCGGGAAGGAGTGGGGGAGGGGCCGCGCGACCGGGGATCATCCAGGACTCCTGCCGCTGATTCAGTGGAGACCTGCTGTCGGGGGGGAAAGCTTCTGTCTGCGGGGACCCTATAAATCAAGGGCCTTGGGAGACTAGAGAACAGAACTGATCTGAATCCAGACTGGCACGGGAGAATAGTGCCCCTCCCTCCCAGCAAAGCCAGTGGGCGCAGCCATCTTGCCCCAAGGGGGAGAGCTCATAACACGTGGCTCTTGACCCCCATCTAGTGGCGAATGGCTGTAACTGCAACCGAATTCTACCACCATAGGAAAAAAACCGCTCCTCTACCATCCAGCAATTTATAAAAGCCCCAGACCAGAAGGAAAACAATAAAAACATAGAATTAAGTCCTGAGGACTTGGAATTAGGTAAACTAAGTGATAATGAGTTCAGAGCAGCTATAATCAAAAAACTCAATGAGGTAGAGAGGAAGATAGAGAAACAGGCTGAGTTCTGGAGTTATTTCACAAAAGAGATTGAAATCATAAAGAAGAATCAAACAGAATTACTAGAAATGAAAAAAACAATGGGCCAGATAAAACAGAATACGGATTCCCTGAATGCCCGTGTAGACAATATAGAGGAACAAATTAGCATAATCGAAGATAGGCTGAATAGCACCAGACAGAGGAAAAAAGAGAACTAAGAATTAAAAAAAATGAGGAAAATCTCTGAGAGACAGTGGATTCAATGAGGAGTAAGAACATAAGGATCATAGGAATTCCCGAGAATATGGAAAAGGAAAATGGAGTAGAAAGTGTGCTTAACGAAATTATTGAAGAGAACTTCCCAAATCTAGGGATCAACGGAGAAAGGTGTGTAGAGGAAGGTTTCGGATCTCCTAGATTTGTCAGTGTAAAAAGACCTACTGCAAGGCACATAGAAGTAAAATTGGCAAAAAGGAAAGATAAGGAAAGAATACTCAGGGAAGTAAGAAAAAAAAAGAGAATAACCTATAAAGGAGCCCCTATCAGACTGTCAGCGGATTTCTCTACAGAAACCTTACAAGCTGGGGGAGAATGGAGTGTCATATTCAAAGCTTTAAAAGATAAAAATCTTCAGCCAAGAATACTCTATCCACCAAGAATTTCCTTCAGATATGAGGGAGAAATTAAATCTTTTCCAGACAAACAAAAGTTAAGGGAATTTGTAACTAAAACCCCTCCACTACAAGAAATCCTCAAGAAGGCTCTCATACCTGAAAAAAGAAAAAAGGGAGAAAGGGGACACAATCCACAGACTAGGGAGACCGATGGATAGAACCAGAACAGGACAGCAAATATTCAACTATAGCATTAGGGTAAAGGGAAGGAAGCTACCAAAGAAAGGACGATCTTAGCACTCTAACTACAAATGCATCACACGAGTTGGAATAAGAAATGAAAATAATTATTTAGGAGGGGAAGAGCAAAGGGTCTAAATCAGTATTGGTCGAGTAAGTAAGACACCACCAGAGAACAGACTATATTATACACGAGATTCTAAATACAAACTTCAAGGTAGACACTAAAATAAAGTACAGAACAGAGTCACAAATCATAGATAAGGAAAAATCTAAGAAACCCAGCATAAGAAAT